TAAGATACCAGTTTTTGCCATATATCTCCTTTATGTACGAAACTAAACCCAATAAATTGTGTTACCGGTTTACATACCGATCACATAGCGGTGAAAATCACTTAGATTGGTGTCATATAAAGTATATCTTCCATACCTCTGATTGTTTAGATGCGATTTTTTATATAAGTATGTAACTCCTCTATCGATGTATGCAGATGTATTCAAAAGCAGTAATCTGTCAAAGTAAAATTTGCAGATGTTCATGAAAGGTATGAAGCCTTCGGCATAGCCGAAGACAGCGCTGCTCTTACTTGTTTATTTTTATTTTTCTTGATTATTGATTGATTACACAGTTCGAAAAATTTTATCTTTTTTTCCCACCTTAGTGCATCGGTTTTTTGTAGATTTTTCGGTGCTGAATCCAAATCTGGCTATAGAATTTCTCTACCACGTCCGAATTTTGAGATATCCTAACCCCTAAGCGTAAAACACGGTTTTTCGCAATATTTGAGGTTATATTATAAAACAACAATTTTTTTCGCTCATTTCTAGTTAGGGTATCATTAATTACACTGGTCTACAAATTTCAACTTTTTTTCTGCGAATAAGACGGGACCTGGTGTTTCTGAACGGATTTTTCGTGCTGAACACGAATCCGGGGTCAAAAATGTCCCAGAAAAAAGGGGTTGAAACCCCTAAAAACAGCGTTTTTGGCCATTTTCGAAAAATTATAGAGCTGAACCCTGACGTGGTACAAATTTTGCATATATCAGAAATTAAAGGCTAAACCGTGGCCTTTCGAATGAGCCCTATGCCGAATTGATCGCGTGCACCCTTAAAGCAGGGGGTGTATTTGTGTTTAGGGGTGCAGGAAAAATTGATCACAGAAAGAATTTAATCTTAAACGATCATAGAAAATTAATAATGCCAAGGTTTTAACTATATTAAAAGTCGCTGATTACGAATCTGCAGTTAGATTTTAAAAATTTAAGAAATTTATATGGTCGTTTAAGATGAAATTCTTTCTGCGATCAATTTTCCCTGGACTCCTAGACACAAATACACCCCCTGATCTAAGGGTGCATGCGATTAATTCGGCATAGGGCTCATTCGAAAGGGCACGATTTAGCCTTTAATTTCTGACATATACAAAGTTTGTAGCACGTCAGGGTTCAGCTCTACAATTTTTCAAAAATGGCCAAAAACGCTGTTTTTTCTCGAAAACGTGACGTGATGGGAAGTTTTGGACCCCAGATTCGTGTTCAGCACGAAAAATCCGTTCGGAAACACCAGGTCCCGTCTTATTCGCAAAACCCTTGTAGACCAGTGTTATTACTCTTCCCCTTTCAAATTCAATTTCGTTTGTTGCGATTCGATTGTGTTTTCTCCAGATGTACCAGTTTTAATGTGCAGTACTTCGGTATTACTTCGTAAGCATGAATGTGTATTTATTTATACATGTATATAGTGCTTATTTTCTTGCTTTTGTTTACCACAAACTGTTATGAAAAAAGAGTATCCTTTGATAAAAAAAGATTTAGTGCTTTTAGTGCGGTAAAACGCTCTTTTTTCCAAGGTTTGGTGCTTTTTTAAACTCAAAAGTTTGCAACACTTTTCTTCCCACATGTATCGTCGGCCGCTGTGGTGTAGTGGTAAGCAGTCAAACCCTGGTCAAAGCATCTTCGAAAAAAATATAGAAAAAAGGTTTTTTCTTAACAGCGGACGTCCGTTGGCAGGCAATGGCAAACCTCCGAGTGTATTTCTGCCATGAAAAACAGCTTCTCAATAAAATACAATCGCCGTTCGGAATCGGCGTAAAACTGTAGGTCCCTCCGCTTTGTGTGACAATATCAAGGCGCACGCCACAAGTCGGAGGAGAAGCTCGGCCAAACACTAATATATGTGTAAGCGCCAATCTATTATTATTATATATTTGGACCAACTTAATGCGCATATGTATGTACATATTACATAATTGGTATGCATTTCACTCAGAGTCTAAAAAGCATGCACAACCATTCATTCACGCCCATATAATAATAATAATAATAGATTGGCGCTTACACATATGTTAGTGTTTGGCCGAGCTTCTCCTCCGATTTGTGGCGTGCGCCTTGAAGTTGTCACACAAAGCGGAGGGACCTACAGTTTTACGCCGACTCCGAACGGCGATTGTATTTTTATGAGAAGCTGTTTTTCATGGCAGAAATACACTCGGAGGTTTGCCATTGCCTGCCGAGGGACGACCGCTGTTAAGAAAAAACCTTTTTTCTATAATTTTTTGCGATGTTGCTTTGACCAGGGCTTGAACCCAGGCGTTGCGGAGTGGAAGCGCGCACTGCTTACCACTACACCACAGCGGCCGACTGAACGGTGAAAATATGTTTATGCGCATACATACATCTGCGTCTATTAATTCTTTTAGGTACATATTTAATCCATCGTAAAAAAATCTACGAATCCGAAGGCTAGATACTAATGCGAAAGAATTACTATGCATGACTGAATCCGAGGGACCTCAAAAGCATTGTTGCCAGATTCTAATTCTGTATTTTATTATTATTATTAAAACGCTTTTATCAACTTGCAATGTTATATGTCCAGACCACCATTTATACTATAAATATAGCGAAGGTATTTATAGCAACCTAGTCTAGATATCAACCTCGTCGTAGGTTTCATATCCGAGACATACAATTAGATTACTCTAGAGGTAGATTTCGCCCCGCCAGAAGAAGTTAAATATTGCGCCTACAAATATGCACTACATACGCTACAGTGGAAACCGACGACACGCTATTTCTTTAAATGAAATTAATTGCTGCTATATGTATGTATGTACATTAGCGTGGGCCGAAAATACGCTTTTTGGAATTTTGATTGGTAATAGCAAAAATATGGTTCATTATGCTTTAAAAAACTCTGTGAGAAATTTGGAACTTTTTGGTCAATAACCAAGTCCATCAAAGTTCAATATGGTTACAAAAAATAAAAATTAATAAATTTTTTTACTTTTTTTTAATTTTTTTTAATTGCATAATCTTCGAAAGTATTTGTCCTAAATAATTGAGTATATGAACCTTTTTTGTAGAGAATCGAAGTTAGCTAAGAGAATTTTTTTTTTAGTACTTGAACTTTGATGGACTTGGGCGAGCCTAGGATTATGACCAAAAATTTTCACATTTCACCCGTCTTCTGTTCTCTCTTCACTGCAAGTTGAATTATTTTAATATCTACTGCAAAATTTTATACAGACTAGACTAAAAAGTTGAAAATAAATAAAATAAAAAAAACTTTTTAATATACCACGCTTTTATAAATGGACTAAAAATTAGAAGATAATATTTCTCAGTCCCATAGAATTTGTTTTGATAACTTTTGATTTTTAAATTTTAGGAAAAGTCATTATAAACAATTTATGAGTTTGAAAATGAAAAGCGTGGGGCGAATGTAATAGACCTAAATTGATATGAAGAGTAATATATTTATGTGTGTGGGCATATGAATAACGACCGCTTAAAATCGATCTCAAATTTGTAATTTCGCTGCAGAAATTTTAGGTCTATGTTATGTAGTTTGACTATTGTCCATTAAATCTAATGCTTTGTATTGCATGCGCTCCACGTTTTTCGTTTAAAAAGTTTTTTTTTATTTTATTTTTTACTAGCCGGCCACTGATGCGCGAGGCTTCGCCACGTGGTGAATGTATGCACATGTATGTACATTCAAGTATTTGGAGAAAGAAATCACATGTCATCATGTACTTCGTTTATTATATGCATAAAAAATCTTTTTTAAATCCGTTCAGTAGCGTGGTTAATCTCGCCTTTCCTTTATACTATGTATAGAAGATAGTAATTTTAAATAGGTGGCAACCCTACTCAAAAAACTTAAAGTTTTTGTACATGCGAAGGCCATGCACTTTTATTTGGTATCTTATTTTTTTATCCAACGAACGGTGAAGACCTTATAGTTTTTTAAACAGGTGGCAACCCCCTTCAGAAAAATAATACATTATTACACATCCAGAGGCTAAGTCTATTCATTTGACAGTGACGGTGCAGAACTGACGCCTACGCTTATTAGAATTGATTATAGTAATTTTCTTAACAGGTGGCAGCCCTATTAAAATTCTAAATCAAAAAGGTCGTTCAGTAGTTTTCGAGATTACGAAGAAACTAAACAAAAACTTCGAAGTAAGCTTATTTTATTTGAATTTTGTGTTTCCAATATTTTTGACTGAACACTTAAGAACAATTACAGTGGGTGTATGTACATGCGTATGTAGATACTAAAGTACTTGTACATATGTACGTGAGCCTAATGAAATAAAAACCATAGTTGCCAACTTGGTGCTTTAAGCACTAAATTTAGTGCTTTTTGAAAATTAGAACGCCAAAAAAATTATTTAGTGCCTAGTGCCTTTTTAGTGCTTTTTTTCTGAACTAAAATTCCTCCGAGATGGGTAAAACCTGAAATATTTAAAGCTATGGCAGCACTGAATTTACAAGAATCTACAAATTTAAATGCACTAAAATATAACCATGATTGATAAAAAGCTGAAGTTACAAACCCATCTTGTTGAATTCCATTCGCGTAAGTTAGGTATTTCTTTTTTCTTTGCTATTTATTTGTATAGATATTTTTTTTTTACCACCTGAATAAAAAACATCGTTTCATGGTGCTGAATCCAAATCTGGCCGCACAATTGCTTAGCACTGGAATTTTGAGATATCCTAACCTCAAAGTGCCAAAAACACGGCTTTTGGCTATATTTGAGGTTATATAATGAAACCATAAAATTTTTTGCTCATTTCTACTTATGGCATCATTTTCATTTATTGCAATTCGATTTTTCTTTCTCGAGATATACCCGTTTTAATGCGCAGTACTTCGATATTACGTCGTAAGTATGAGTCATCATAGCATGTGTAGAGGCTATTCAATTGTTATTTGCTTTTGTTAAATACAAACTATTATGAAAAAAGCATCTTTCGATTAAAAAAAAATTGGTGCTTTTAGTGTGATAAAACGCCTTTTTCCAAGTTTTTGGTGCTTTTTGAAAATCAAGAGTTGGCAACACTGATCTCGATACTTCGTCATGACAAACTGTCTTGCATTGCTCATGCTCCATATAAAGGAGTCATGGCTAGAACCCGGATGACAAGCATCAATAGCTCTAATAACCATATTATGATCGCAAATCTGTAATAAATAAGAAACAAATTTTACGAAAACTTTTTTCCATATAAAATCCAGTTATTGTGGCAACTTACAATCATTGCATTAATGCTAAAATTTCCTTTTCGGTTAAAAAAAGCAGACCCGTCTTGTGGTTGCAATAGCTTGATGTGCGTGCCGTCAATACATCCAATTACACCCGGAATACCAAATTGTTCGTAAAAATAACTTTTGGTGGCTCTTTTCTCTTGCTCAGGCATGAACAATTTTATCCACTTTGAGCAAAGTCTCCGCTCCATGAGCGTCATTATTTCTGAAATTATCTTGGAGACGGTGCTCCTTCCCAAAGCGATGCTTGAGTCCACTCCTACAGACCTTTGATACCCACCTTCGGCGAGGAATCGCAGCGTTGCTGCCAACTTCAACACTGCAGGAATGGAGCTTCTTTGTACAAAAGGCTGCAAGTCTCTCAAAATCATGAGGAACGCTTGTTTATTTATTCTATAGAGCACAATAAGGCTGTAAAATATAAATTAATAGTTTAAAATGGCGTTAGTATAAAAAAAACTTTTTATACTACTAACGCTGAGTCCGGTAATTCCATGGGATTGCTGTGATCGCGCAAAATTTTTCGCGAAACTAAAGTTCCGATCGGATTGTGGAACACCATTTCAATTCCGAGTCGGAATTGAATTCCGATTCCGACTCGGATTGCAGAACAGGGCTGCTTAACTTATTTTATTTTATTAATTTTAGTGCAGTTTTGGCAAAATTTTCTTGCTAAAAAATCTTTTGCTACACTTTGCTCATTTTATTCCTTTGATTGCACAGGTTAAATGAAAACTTGTTTTTAAAAAATATTTGTTTACATTATTTTATTTTATAATTCTTAGTCCATTTATAAACGCGTTGTATATTAAAAAGTGTTATTTTAATTTATGTACAAAATTTTGCAATATATATTAAAATAATTCAACTTGCAATGAAAGAGAACAGATGACTTGGCAAGCAAAATGTTGTTTGCTTACGTTTTGTATAAACATACATATGTACATATAGCAGCAGTTAATTTTATTTAAAGAAATGGCGTGTCGTCCATTTCCGCTGTAGCATGGCATGTATTTAGGCGCAATATTTAACTTCTTCTGGCGGGGCGACATCTGGAGTCTTCTAATTGTATCTCCTTGATATGATGCCTACAACGATTTTCATATCTAGACTAGCTTGATATCTAGAATTTGACACAGATAGCTTTGCTACACTACCGCCGCGGCGCGGCGCGGCCTTTGAATCAAGACCCCTGGACCATATGGAGAATTAATTTATATTTTAAATTGCATTGTCATCGTGATTGGAACTATGCTGAAAATTTCAAGTCTCTAACTTGTCGGGAAGTCAGTCTAAAATCGATTGGAAATTTCCGCAATTCGCGCGGGATGACCAAGTTAAATAGTTAAAAGCTTATAAAAATGAATCTGATCGCCTTTGCGTTGATGACCGTGAGTTAAATGCGAATACAATATCTGATAGATACCATTGCCTCTAATATCAGACCAAATCGCTAGATTACGTGGGCCAATTACTTTTCTTGTTTAGATATGGCAAGTGGATTCCACCAAATTCCTATTCATCCTAATAGTATTGAGCTTACAGCGTTTGTAACTCAAGAAGGCCAGTATGAGTTTTTAACCATTCCCTTTGGCTTTAAAAATGCGCCATCGGTTTTTCAGCGAGCTGTAGTGAAGGCATGGGGGATCTTGCCTATTCCTAGATTGTTGGTTGGGTATGGCACTGCGACAAATAGGTCTATTGTGCCTATTCCTATGTCATTGTGTACATATATGGATGATATCATGATTATTGCTTCAACGAAGGAGCAAGTGTTTGAAAGATTAAACATTGTTTTAGATACTTTAACAAAAGCCGGGTTTTCTTTTAATTTTACTCAATGTGCTTTACTCAAATCTAGTGTTGAATATCTCGGGTATGAGATAAAATCTGGAGAAGTCCGACCAAATCCACGTAAAATTCACCAATGTGCACCAATTGAGGCAGTTCATAGGCTTGGCTTCTTACTTTCGACAATTTGTAGCTAAATTTTCGCAAATGAATAAACCACTTTATTTTCTTATCTCCAACAAAAATAACTTTAATTGGAAATCAGAACATGAGCAGATACGTCAGAAAATAATTTATATATTAACAAGTAAGCCAGTTTTAATAATTTTTGATCCGCAGTCCCCATTGAATTACATACTGATGCTAGCGCAGATGGTTATGGCGCCAGATTAATGCATAAAACTAACAACAAACCACATGTCATTGAGTACCTATTTTAGCAAAAGAACTTCTCCAACAGAATCTAGATTTCATTTATACGAATTGGAGACATTAGTTGTAGTTAATTCTATTAAACATTTTCGGCAAGGTCGCCAGTTCGTGGTATTCACAGATTGTAATTATTTTAAAGCTTCTCGTACCAAAATGGATTTAACACCAAGAGCTCATCGCTGGTGGGGCATATTTGCAATCTTTTGATTTTGTTGTAGAGTATAGAGAAGGCAAGCGTATGGCACAAGCGGACTTCTTCTCCAGGAATGTGTTGCCCGAGAATAATCAGCAAGTCGAGAAAGTTTTGGAAAAACGTGTGAATCTCCGATATTTCAGATAACTGGCTTCTCGCTGAGCAACAAAGAGATCCGGAGGTAGTTGCAATTGTTAAAAATTTGCTTAGTAATGAATTCGAACAACATGAGGTAAATACGTATGAATTGCGCGCTGGTATATTATGCCGGA